ATAATCTATTCTCGTAGTTATTAAGCGGCTTATATAGGTAATCAGCTAACTAGCTACATAAGCTACTTAATTTCAATATATTGTAACAACCGCGTTTCTCCGAAACTTAATATCATTGTCGCTTAATTATACAGTTGTCTGTATTTTCTGCTCAAATGTTTGATGGAACGCGAAGTCCCCGGGCTCTAAATTAATGATTTATCTTCTTCCCGCGCATCTCAGTTGCTTAGTTGGCTTAATGTATGACTTCGTGAGCGACTGTTCAGCCCACGCCGTGTCGCATTTTGATTAAAAGCGAGCGGAATGGCGAGCCATGCGAGCCGTACGAGTCCCGAGGGGCATTAAGAGCATTCTGGCGTTTGGCTGACGGTCCCCCGCGATATATCGCGTTTGTTCCCATATTTGGCCGGATCATTCAGGCCAGCGCGGTCGGTCGGTCGGTCGATCGGTCGATCGGTCGGTCGGTTGGTCGCTCGGTCTCTGGAGCAAACGTAGTTGCAGGCTACCGGTATAAGAGAGGCTCATTCCGGCGCGCAACGTTCGCCAAGATCAATAGACGGGCCGCGAGCCGTCATCCCAGGCGACAGAGAGCCCGTTGGTTTTGATCTCTCGCGCACGCGCTCTCTCACCTCTTCCACAAACCTCCCCCAACGTACTTTCTGTCCCCCTTGCCAACCTCCGGCGAACGGTCGCAGCGTCGGACGTGAGCGACAATCGCGTCGGCAGTACACGAGAGCGCTGGAATTCGTGCGCCGGCTCATGCGTTTACCTGCACTACTGTCGAGACCAAACACTGCTCGTCTGGCGGTAACATTTTCATGCACAATCAATTGTACATGGAATGACGCTGGCAACTCAATTGCTTAAATAATAAGAGAAAAACTAAGAGACGAAAAAAAGAAGAAATAGAGAGAGAGACAGAGAAAAAAAGAGAGAAAAAACATAAGAAAGTAGCGATTTAGAGCAATGGAAATATGCCACAACTTGGTCTTTTGCTATCTGCGCTATTTTAATTATTTAATAAAATTATTATTATTATTTTCATTATTCCATCAAGAATTTTTATTCCTTTTTATATAAATTAAATATTATTTAAATAATCTAATTACTTTGAAAGATCATACACTTAAAAGATCATTATAGTACTTTGAAAGATCATTATATCTATATTAGATTATTTATCTTTTTTCTGTATAACGCATATTTTACGTATATTTTACCTGAAATAGAATATAATTTTCTATAAATTCGAGAAATAAAGTCACTGAAACATACTATTTTAAAATGAAACGTGACAAAAAAATGATAAAAAAATTCTGGTGTTGGTATACAATTATTGTCAAAACTGTCAGATTGTAGCTAAATATTGAAAATACGAAAGAGCAATATTCTACAAAACGAGAAACGAGAAACGAAAGCTGAAGCAGTAAAATGAAGCAAAAGAACGTGTGTATGTGGGAAATTGCAATTGAAATAAAATCCAATCAAATTTTTCGCATTCGATGTATAAAGAGATTTATGCATATATCGTTGAAGACATCGATATGTTATTTATCAAACGATCCAGTCGTACAACATTTTATAATAGCTAACAAAAGATCAATTTTACATTTCATCCAATTACATAAAACAAAAAAAGATATATATTATAAAATATAATTAAAATGAGTGATACATGTTGTATTGTGAAAATGAGCGAAATATAATGCATGATAATGCGTGATATTTTAATAAGTGTACACCTACGTAAGAATACACCAAAAATTAATAATGCTTGAGATTATGTTGGATGAGATTACAAATATATTTTCCCAATATGACTTTCAAAAATATTCGAGGTACATCATTACGCTCATTAAATTATAAATTCATAAAGATATATTTTATGTGCTCATAAAGTTGAGATTATGCAAATTAGGGATTGCGATAAGATATCCTTGGATTAATGGAGATCTCGCATCGGCAATTAAATTATAATCATAAATTCGGAGCAGATGGCATATACAGATTATGTAAAAGCGATGGAAAATACGCCAACGTGAACGTTGCTCTCCGGACGAGCCTAGACGTTAGATTAAAACGCATAAAATTCACGCTCATCGTCCCGTCACTCGCGTGGGTGCTCCAGTGTTCCATATAGACAGGGTGTTCTAAAATTGCTAATTTGATATATATGATTATAAATATTTGATCACATTTAGAATCCTTCCTCTAGAAAAAAGTATTCGATCAAAGAATTCTAACATTCATAGTTAAATATTCTTTGATCAAAATAAGATTTTGCGTCTATATTTCCAAAGTTTATTTCTCAAAACTGCCAGAATATTTTTTATATCCTTACAGTTCCACTAAAGCAAGCTCTTATTGTTATAGTATAATTGTATGTCAGAAATAGGTTGCTTGTGAGACACCCTGTATACCTACGCATCGCACGGCTAGATGGAGGATGCAAACTTGTGTTTGTACTGCGTATTCAAAGTTTACCCCGCAACTCGAGAATTCGATTCAAAGTCACGCGGGCGGAAAGAATGTACACTCACCGCACCCGACTACGTTATGATTCGCGTTATCTCTGCTCTAGCGAGCGCTGGAAGCGGCATTTCAATGTCGCACGCACGTACGCACGTCATCATTACGTATGTATGTCCGCGAATGCGAAAGTACGTATCATCGTCCGTCCTTTGATACCACCGCGTCTCAAAGCGCGAGCGGGGCATCCAGGCAGTAAGAATACTCGGTGGTCGAATATTTTTCACGAAGCACCGTCGAGAGTATATCTGCAAATGGAATGTCTTTTGATGTGCTCCTTTTCGCCCTTTTACGTCGGCGGTATGCACTCACGCCTCTTTACATTCTAACGTGAAACCGTATGCAACTCGGCGAGTATCGATATATTCGTCGTCGCTAAGCCGAAGCTTTAAAGTAAAGCAAAGAAGGGAGTTCGCGATGGAGAAACGAATAGCAAAACGTAACAGAAAAGCATAATGCGAGAGAGTGAATGAAAAAAGAACGAGACGATACGGCGATCACCTCGGAGAAACACCGAAAAGGAAAACGCGTTTCTCACGATGTCAACGCGACGACTTAATTAACCGCGGAATAGCGAAAGCTATTAAATCAAGTGGCTGAATCGCCGTGGTAGATGATACTGATGTGGTGATAATCGTCGTCGGCGGAATGAAGGTAGATGATCAGAAAATGAGACAGAAACACAACGATGATTGATTCAATCTAACGCAATCTCAACCTGTAAGAAATGATAATAAATGTGACATACTCCCGTTGTGTTTATTTACAATATCAGTGAGGTCCTCTGGATATATTACAAGGAGAAAAATAGGCCAGGAAATTATTTGAAAGAAGAAAGATAGGCCAGAAGATAGAAAGTACCAAGTTCGTGAGACAATCAAACAGAGTGACATTACATAGTATATTACATTACAGTGAGTACATCTTAGACTCTGAATACTCTGTAATATCTCTGTAATGTACTATTCATCAAACACCGTAATGGCCATTAGCTCAATTAGAATGCATGTCGGCTAGTTGTAGATTGTACACATTTACCTATATTAATTAATTAGCTGACGCTACACGGAAATTCCAACCATATTGTATCACAGAATAAAAAAAAATTCAATCATATCGTGCGCAATATAGATGCATTAATATTACGTGTTATGGATTCTTTTCTTAAAGAAGACTGCTACCGAGTGAACATGATCTTCTACTGCGCGTCAATACACAGTAACAACAGTCTGACGAAAGGAATGGCGGTAGGTAGAGGGTGACGAAAACTACTAAGTTCATGAAACAATCAGGCAGTCAGGATGACAGCGAGCGCAGGCACGACGGCAGTCGTCGGCTTGAGGCGAGCAGGCAAGTTAGGGTGGGTGCGAGAGAGAAGAGTGAAAAGGGTGAAAGAAGGAAGGAGAAGTCGACGAGGGTGGGCAGACAGGTAGGCAAGCAGGCAGGCTGGCTGGCTGGCAAGCAGGAAGGAAGGAATTGCGCCTGCGCGCTGAAACGGCCGGGCTAGACGCGAGAGCCGCCACTCCCGAGCGCGTAGCGGTGTACCGCGGGTGCTGACCGAGTGTCCCCGCGAGAAGAGCGAGAGAGAGTGAGAGGGCAAGAGCGAGAGAAAGAGTGCGGAGAGAGAGAG